GTATGGATGGATGAATGAATGCGAGAACAGGAAATAAAATAAAATAAAATGTAAGATGATAAGTAACGTTCCATTAGTTGAAGAAGCCTTTACTGAAATAGACAAAAATAATCATAAATATAATGGAAAAAGTGATGACAATTCGGCGGCCGATAAGAAAAAATAAATTCGATCCATGCATTAGCGTTTATTTCAGTCATCGTTCATGCATACATAGTTATTTTACAATTACGGATCAAAAGAGAGGGTTCCGAAAGTAGGGCCAATCCATAAGTCACGTGATCACCTGTAACAAAAAAATACGACCTTAATTAATGATTGTGATACATGAATTTTATTTTATTTGTATGCAAAAATCAGCGTACATAGTTGTTTTGAGGTTTGATAAGCAAAAATGTATCATCCGACCATCGGATGAATTGACCGATCACGTGATTATCTGGAACAAGGAAACAGAGCGTTATTTGGACAATGTGATCCATAAAATATTATTATTTTAATTAATTTAAAAGATATACCAAACGGCGAAGGGCTCCGAGCCAAAGTTGTCATCACACCTGTAATCAAAAAGTCCAAAAGTTAATTTGGTACAGGAAATAAGTTTAGTTTCAAATAATTATCCACGCGAATAAGTAAAAATAGCCAGGTAAAGCGATATAAAGTATTGTCAAGATGAATAAAAGGAATTAATTATAATTTTAGTAGTTCGACATTGAGATGGTCGAACTTTGATAGCTTTAGGAACGTTATTTAGTGAGACGAGCCCAAACATTGGGTAAAGCGCCGGATTGGTTCGGCGAACCGGCCAATCCGAGAACCAGAAGCGTGCGTTAAAAGTTATGTGCGCAATAAACGCGGAGAAGGGGAAAAGCGACCGAGGGTATAAATATCGTTGCCCGGATGGCAACGAGGTCTTTTGTCCGGTTCGGTTCGCGAGTAAACCCCGTGTAAGGAAAGTCCCGCAAAGTATTGCGTAATAAAAGAATCCGTTATTCAGCGAGCGTTAAAAACACCGACGAAAACGCATCTCGATCGGACGTCGCGAGTACGGAGATTTCGATCCCGAAACGGATCTAGCGCGAGTTTGTCGCGCTTTTATAAGACGTGTTCTTGAAACCCTATACGCGATTTCGGTTATCTTTTATGCGTTATAGCGCTGTGTCGGTCGTGGCAGGGCCGAGCGTTTCCGCGGCGCATTTAGTGACGCAAACCGAATTGCGTTTAAAGCGCATCCCCGATCGCTGGGATTCCCGGCGAAAGGCGAGATCGCGTGATCCGCGAAGCGCGAGCGATCGTGTGCGCGGTATTTCGAGAGTGAGTGCGTGTAAGCGTGAATGTGAGCGTTTCAATTTTCAAAATAAATATTATAAACATTTCAC